CCTCTGGGGCTGTTGATAAGCCGTATGCGAGGTAGAAACTGCAGTCCACTTCAGCCGGGATGAGAAGAACTCATCTGAAATGGCCGCATCAGCAACACAAGCGGGACTCGAACCCAAGTTGTGTTACTGCAGACATTGCCACGATTGGTCAGAGGATAGGTGTGAATTTCAATGAAGGCGAGGCCTCTTTCATATCACATTTTGTAGTTGGCCTTTTCATAATACAAGCTTACATTTGCTATTACAATCGCCCACATTATTCTTATTTTCTTTGAGTAGGTTTCGCTATTACCATCTTATATTCAAGATTTGCTGACAGCCTCAAAACCTACCTTATATGATGATACGTGATGTAGTCTAATATAATTACAAAGTGCATGATTCACTCACCGACAATCCCAATATAAAAGGCGATGTGGTAGAGGTTTGGCCGCTATATAAATATATATATGAGGCATATTCACCAAATTTTGGTTAAGGTAATATTTGGTGGTTGAATATTCCTGTAATGATCCTGGTAGACCTTATGTTTCCATTGAATTTGACATGACCATGATTCCCAAAAGGATTGGAATACCTTTTAAGAAAGCAATGTAATGTAAAATTCAATGAAAACATAAGGTCTACCCATATTATTGCAGGACGCTTAAGGTACCTTAAATACAAATGGCATAGTTTTCATCACATTTCTTTTATTTTGGAACAGTCCTATCATTCCTTAACTAACAAATATTCTCAAGGCATATTCACATGAAGAATCATCAAACCTCTCGGTGTAATAGCAACTATATTTTATTTGAGAGGCCCACTGGACTACATGACTGAACAGCCGAGTGGAAATGTATTCGATTGCTATAGCATATACAATTTGGCTTCGTTGTCCACCCTTATACAGATAAGTGATATAGGAAATGTCTAGGCTTCCCTGAAATTTCCTTCTGTCCTGTCACCCAAGGGTCTGAGCGTGGCGTAGTGGTAAAAGCATTGAGAATATACACAGCATTACAACAACCCAGGTTCGAGTCATGCTAGGGTTGCGGATGAGGCTAGTTCAAGCGAGGTCTAAACTGCAATTCACTCCTTCCTGGATAGGAATATCTTTCGTGAATCAAGGTTATATGACAATCAATGGAAACGCATCATATGATGGACACCATCAGTGCTGGAACTCATTCTTGTAAAAGTATTTATGACCTAGTGTTAATGTAGAACTTTTACAAGAATGAGTTTCAGTGATGCCATCATACAATGGACGAAAGCCCACCCGAAACGAGGAAGGATATCTCGTGGACTGAGTCAACCTTAACGTCATATTAAAGCTTCAGTACAATTCAAATCAGCCACCGACTTCTGGTGAGATCAACCTTGAAATCTTATCTTCATTCATTTTAATGAAAAGTGAAAGTCTCCCTAATACTTGTATCATAGGAGATTCGTACTTACAGGCCTTATAACATCTACAAACTAGCATAACAAACGAAGATTCAACCAATTTTTCCAACAATGCTATAAGACCTGGATGTCATATTCATACTAACTTCCCACCAACCAACACTACATTACAG